GCACAGCATTGGGCACAGAGACGTCCCCAGGGAGCACGCAAACAGGGAGGCACAGCCCAATGTGGGATGCTGCTCCCAGAAAACACATGGGATGCGTGGGCTCAGGTGCCAAGGGATGCTGGCATCTCCCCACGCGGTTTTTCCCCCTGTACCATGCCAGCTCCGGTGCTTTTTATAGCTCTTTATAGCAGCAGAACTCAGCAAGCCCTGGAGTGTGGTGCCAGGAACAGCGATAACCCCTGGGACAGCATCATCCTCTGCTGGAGATGGAAAATCCCCATCAAATTCCCCTCTCCCGGAGGCCAGGGGTTCCCAGGGCAGCGGCCAGGCGGGAGCGTGGCTTTGCCATGCAGCTTTATGTGGTTTATTAATCGAGAAGGTGAAACTCCATTAGTCACACAGGGTAATGCCCAGCCCTCCAGAGTCCTCCTGGCTGTGGGAAGCGAGGATGGGGCGAGGGGTGCCCTGGGGCTGAGGAAAAGGGTGCTGGATGAGACCCCCTTCCTACCCCAGCAATGAGTTTGGCTTCTCCAGCAAGCCCTGAGCACCCAGTGAGCCCCAAAGCGACTCCATCAGAGGATGCACCAAGCCCCCAAACCCAGCCCTATGGCTCCATCAGAGGATGCATGAACCACCCGAAATCACCAGGAGACCCCCTGCTCCATACCCCACCTCAAGCTCTGCCCCCGGGTGGCGAGGGCTGGTGTCCCAGCGCTGTCCCGCCTCTCCTCCCGGCGTTCCTACTCCTCCACGAAGCAGTAGGTGCCGTAGATCCGCCGCTCTTTGCTGGGGAAGCCGAAGCTGTGGACACCGGGGTGCGGGAGCCCCCCGCAGTGCTGGCGGGGGGTGGTGATGGGGAACCTCACGCTGCCGTCCTCCAGCCACCCTCCATCGCAGCGATCCAGCTGGGAGAACTTCCATGCGGAATAGAGCTGCCCCACTTTGGCCATGGCAGCCCCGTGGTTGCGACACGCTTGGGCCGCCTCCTTGAAGTTCAGGTGGCCCCGGATGAAGTAGACCTGGCCTGGGGATGGGGACAACATGGCAAGTGAGGTGGCCACCATGGGTGATGGGATGCACAACCCCATCCCAGATATCTCCTACATCTTAGGCAGAAGCTCTTCCCTGTGAGGGTGCTGAGGCGCTGGCACAGGGTGCCCAGAGAAGGTTTGGCTGCCCCATCCCTGGCAGTGTCCAAGGGCAGGTTGGACACAGGGGCTTGGAGCAACCTGCTCTAGTGGAAGGTGTCCCTGCCCATAGCTTTAGGTGAGCTTTAAGGTCCCTTCCAACCCAGACCATTCTACAGTGCAAGTCTAGGTGGGCACTGGGGTTGGGTGGGAGGGACAGAGGACCCCGGCACTACCTTGAAGAGCAGAGGTGAAGCAGAAAGCATCGAATCGATCCTTCTGCTTGTCCCTGGCCCCATAGGAGCGGACCCCGGGTAGGAGGAGGCGGCCGCCGCACGGCTCCCGCGAGTTGATGATGGGGTAGTGGACGGGCCCAATCAGGGCACACCCGGGGGTGGCCCTCGGTCCAGGCTGCAGGGCGAGAGGCAGCTCAGCGCGTTCCCGGTGCGCAGGGAGGCGCATGTTGGGGCGAGTGAGGGTTTTGGGGGTGCTTCACCTTTGTAGAGCTGCTGGTAGGTGGCGAGGCGGGAGTCCTGCTGCTCGCACGCTCGCTTCGCATCCTGGTAGTTGAGTTTGTAGCGCCCGCTGCTGGGCTGGTAGGGGAAGACGACGCCTGGAGGGACAGGGACAGGGGAGAAGGGTGAAAAGCCACCCGTGTGCTGGGCTGCACCCCCAGAGC